TGTAGGTTTTGGGGTTTAGGTTTTAGGGTTTAGGGTTTAGGGTTTAGGGTTTAGGGTTTAGGGTTTAGGTTTTAGGGTCAGGGTTTAAGGTAGGGATTTGTGGAGTGTGGAGGCTTTCCTCTGTACCCATAGGCCCCATAGTAGTTCCTTTTGGGGGTTAGTATTTAGAATCCTATAAGGTAACCCCAAAAAGGAACTGCTATGGGGCCTATGGGTAGACTGTAGCCTAAAGCAGTATATTCCAGAAGCCTTTGCAATGAAAGTGAAGTTCTACACCTCACAAATCGATCAGATGCTGGGGCAGTGAGTGGTCGGAAGGTGCTTAAGGTCTGGATTGTCCGTTATTTTTGCCCTTTTCAAACCCACCTGAGCTCTTTGCTGATACATAGGTTTTTAGCGGCTCTTTACGACAGTAAGGTGCTTTGTGGGTAGTTGGGTTTCCAGGGCGCTTTTTCGTGACACCAAGTTTGCGAACAACACTATCTGACTATCTGAAAGTTTGTTCTACCCCATGATCCATTAAGAGGGCTTTTCTAGAATCCTATAGTACCCGTTAAGGGGAGGAGCTTATTGTAGAGCCCTTTTGTCCCCTTTAAGGTTCTCGTCGTGATATGCATTGCTCCTACCAAACCCAACACCCGCCTGCAGCCGCAGTCCTTCAAATGTTACATAGAAGTCCCCACCTAGAGTTTGAACTACCAGAATACCCTACTTTTTCGCAGGTCCTAATAATTCCAAATATAGATCGAATCTTTTAGGCACTCTACAAAAGTAGGTTTGGGTAGGTTAAGGTGGTCTCCAGTGTAGTTTCGAGTTTCTTTTTTGCGTAATAGCCTAAATATAGTATTGGTGAATAACCAGTACTATATTTAGACCCCCAAAAGGTAACCCCCAACTTGAAGCCTGAGGCAACACCAGTCCTGAAATGTTGGAGACCCCTAACCCTAAACCCTAGCCCTAAGCCCACAAGCCTTGAGCCTTAAGTGCTTAAGTTCCTGTAACCCAAGGGTCTTAAGGGCCTATATACTGTAGGGTTTCTAGAATAGGAGATACTATTATGGTGTGGGCAAGTATCCTCGACATGGGTACTTAGGACAGAGTCACTTCCCCAAACCGAGCTCAAGACCGTGAAGTACTGCAATGCATTTTTATTGCCCTGGACGAGAGGATTCTGAGGTTGTGGAGTTCTTGAAGACCGGGTTTTTGGATTGAATTCGTCAGGCCTTTATTGATTTGGTAGATTCAGGGATTTTCAAGTTAGGGCTTTCAGTGTCTTTGGAATTTGAGTTTGGGCCTTAGATTCCGTTCGTTGAAGAGCATTCCATCCGGACAAATACAGCCCCGGCCCGCAATTTTGCCACAATCTACCGGGGTTTAGGCATTAGGGTTTAGGGTACCGTCAAGAAGGAGCGAAGAGTACCATGTTCGAAGGCCTTAAGAACAACCCAGGAAAGGTCTCGCAGACGACCCTCTAAGCGTTCAAACACGCTTGAAGCCTACCGAACCTTTGTTTCAAGGGTTTCAACCCTCGTCAACCCTTGTCTTCGTATGCCAAGGTGGGCACTGTATCTGAGCCTTACACCGCCGTAAGTCGTATTACTTTATGATGAATTTCGATACCCAAAACCTCAAAATGCTTCACACTAGTTTGACTATCAAGGCCCCCCCACAAGGCACCCATATTCGACCCCTGTAATACGCACAGCGATTCAGCCCCCACGCTCCTCCCTGCGTTGGTTACCCAAGCAAGGGCGCTTCCGGGTGCTCCTGTCATGGCACAGATGCCCTGGGGCTGGAGGCACGGAAAACTCCAGGATCAGGGAATGGTTCGGGTTCAGAGAACCCCCGCCCAGTTGAGGGAACAAGTTGTCTACATAAGTCGCAGTCGAAGATAGATGGCAGCACATCTTGGCTCCTCCAGAGGCGTGTCCGAATGCAGTTTGCATGATGCATTTGTTGGGATCCGCAGCAAAGAATCGCACATCTGTTGGGTGAGTATCAGGACTATTATGCGGTGTTGCTGCTATTTGTGGGGTCACTTGCCCTGCCCTGCCCTGCCCTGCCCTGCCCTGCCCTGCCCTGCCCTGCCCTGCCCTGCCCTGCCCTGCCCTGCCCTGCCCTGCCCTGTCCTTAGAGCTAAATCCTAACAGGCACAGGTGGGGTGGGAGAGGAAAAAGGCCCACCACTATCGGGCCCCAGCGGCCAGTCGTCATACTATGATGCATGCACTGTCACGAGATGTTTTCGGCTTTGCGCCACTCTACGGCACACCCTAAGCCCTAGGCCCTAAGCCCTATAGGGCTTATACTTTACAACCCTTAACCCTAAGCCCCTATCCCTTGACCCCTATAAACCCTAAACCCTAAACCCATAACCCTTAACCCTTAACCCTAAACCCCCAACCCTTGACCCCTATAAACCCTAAACCCTAAACCCTAAACCCCTAACCCTTGACCCCTATAAACCCTGAAGCCACGAGGCTCCCCGACCAGAGGTTGCCGCAGGCCCCGCCGCAGCAGCAGCTCGGGTCAAGCAGTCCGCGTAATGCGGGATAGGTGGCTCAAGGCATTTTTTCGAGTTTTATGCAGGATAGGTGGTTTCAGGTGTTTTGTTGAGTTTTAGGGCTTAGGGGGTTGTGGTTTAGGGCGCAGGGTTTAGAGTGGGGTTTCGGGGACTTGGGTTTCGAGTTAGGTTCAGGGCCTGGAACATGAGGACGATGATGGTGACGATTATAACTGGAAGACGTTTTTGGGGGGGTTTCTAGTTGGGCCGAAACTTGGCAGGTAATTTGTTCAATGAGGTATATGTTGAGGGCGACGGTTGCAGCTGAAAAGATTGCAATGCTTATGTTTCACATGCTGGGTTTTACATGTCTTACGGGGCATAGGTACTTCGAGCGCGTCTTTGGGTGATGGGCTTTAGTTCAGTATGCATTCCATGCGTCGCCTGGAAAGCTGCATTGGGTGCGGTTCTGTTGTTCGAGTCAGCTCTTACTGTTTTCAACAAGAGTGCTCCACCCTGCAACCTTGTGCCATAAAGTTGTGGTAGCGGTTTAGGGTGTAGGGTTTAGGGTTTACCACAAGGAGCCCTGAGAAGAACCCAGTGAAACCAGCACTTGATGGGGGCTGCGTGCTCACGGCTTATTTGGGTTATGCTGGGAGTACTCGAACCTTCCTGTATGAAGCTACGGAAGAAGGTCTGCCTTTCGGTTACCCGACATTCAGAGAATAGGGGATCCTGATACCGACCTGAAATGGTTGGATCCTTCTTTCAAGGACCCCTGAACATTAAGCCATGAAGCACAATCAGTTAGCACCCCAAAAGCCCTTGAAACTATAATAAAGCCCATAACCGCATCCTCTTGAGCGACCGAGGTTTCAGCCGCGGACATCACCCCGCCCCAGCAGACTGTCCCAGGAGCTCCAACTTTGATCCTAAAGTTTGTAACGTGACTGGGGCTTGGTTTTATGTCTTGCCCTAGTATTGGTAGTTTGGGGTTGGATTGCAGGGCTAGGCACCGCAACTTTGCAACACATACACACACACACACACACAAACTGCGCGCCAAGGCTTCCAAGCTCATTCGGGCCGCTGTTGTTCTGGAACTCTGCCTCGTTGGCATTGAAGCGGGGTTTCCCTAAACCCCATACTCAACCCTGAACCTTATTACCCTTGACCCTATACCCCATAGCCTAAGCCCCAAACCCTAAACCTCTGGCATGTCCTGGCCAGGCTCTGGAAGTCTTTGTGCATCAAAACTGGCGCGATCTGTGAGAGTCTAGAGTCTAGAGATCGACAGAAGCGACTTTCTGTCTCCAGACCCATCCCTGAGCCCCTAAACCTCATGCTCTGAAATCGCTAAGCTCTAGCGCCTTGAACCCCCTAGCCTTCTGAGAAGGCTGTCAGGTGGCAGGAGCAAAAGTTCCAAATGGACACGCCCTAAATCCTAAACCCTAAACCCTAAACCGCCCTGAACCCTAAACCCTAAACCCTAAACCCAACAAGCGATCCCTAAATTGCCAGGGCCTTCAAGTTGAAGCAATACCAAAAAACTGAAGACACTACGGCTGATTAATAAATCTTTCATTACAGTTTAGGGTTTAGGGTTTAGGGATTACGCATCATAAGAAACTATACCGTACATCGCATAGTTTAGGGTCCTCAGGGTAATGCCGGATTTATATCATCAACAGCAACACTCTGAACCCTGTGCCCCAAAACTCTCTAGCCCTGAACTCTCAACTGAGACCTATAGTACTAAAGGCTATACACCCAAAATTCTGTTCGCATCCTGAACCTGAACCATTAAGCCCTTAACCCTAAAGCTTAGACTCTAAACCTTCAGAGTTCAAGGAGCCACCGGGGCAGAAGGTCGCTGTCGCGTCGGGTGCCTAGCTCTGGGGCGACTCTGACAGTTCGACAGATAAATGCATAATGTAGGAGCCTAAATAATTAGAATAGGGTTTGGGTGTACATTCTACTACATTTATAATAAGGAAAGAATTTAGGCAATGTAGGGGCCTAAATGATTACCAATACTATTTCAGGGGTTCCTTAACATAGTTATAGTATAGTGGGTAGTGTGGCCCCCAAACCCTAGTCTAATTAGTAAGGCCCCTATATTACCGCTGAAAATGCTGCAACGGGCCAGGGTTTAGAGTTCAGGGTCTTTTGGGTTGAATATACTCCAAGGGCCCTGTGCCTATCCTATCAATGAAGGGTCTCATTTCGGTTTGGTACAGGTGCTCTGTAGATCGTATAGGGCTTTAAAGGGCTTGCTGCAGAGCCTTAGGGTTCCAGTTCAACAACTCGAACGATCGGCTATACCCATTATCATAATAAAACTTGAGCCCTGACAGTACTTATATGGGAACCTCTCTGACGGCAAAGATCGCCAACGTTTATGGTGCACAGGTACATGGACTCTTGGTGTATATAGTATAGGGTCTGCTGGTGCTCTCCTTCTGCACCTTTTGGTGGTGGCCTGGTGGCCTCGTGTCTCGTGGTCTCCCGATGGTCGTGGTGTCGTGGTGGTCGTTGTCGTCCTGGTCGTCGCTGTCGTGGTGATGGTCCTGATGGTCGCTGTCGTCGTGATCGTCGTGGTCGTGGGTGTCGCGAACGTCATGTTGTTCAAAGTTCTCCGTGTTGGGGATCTATGCTGGCAGAATGGGGGTTTGCAGGGTTTAGGGTAAGTTCAACAGAGGGTAGGATTTATAGATTGGAACAGTCTTCAAGTTTTCAAGGACCCCACAGGGGTTGGGAGGGTTGCTTCAGCAGCAGCACATCTGCTTCGGCACGGGCCGGTGCCGGGCTTGAAGTTTTTTATAAGGGGAAGGGCCAAGGCAGGGTTCGGGCTAGATGCCGTTAGCATAACATGAGACCTAGGGGCATAGGCCACTGATTCAGGTTTTGGTTTAGGGTTTAGGGTTTATTCAGATGCCGTCAACACGGTACAGCTTTCGACCTCAACCCTGCTGAGCGCCCAGAGAGTTTGTTTGCTTTGATAGACAAGGTCTTGGGTCTGAATGTTGCAGGAGGCGCTTGGGTGGTTCGGTCTACAAATCTTAAAAAAATGGCCGCGAACCTCTCAGGCCCAGTAGCTTTGCGATCTTTGCAAGGCTCCTTTTTGCAGCGGCATTAGGCAGGCAGGCACATGTGGGTCATTCCGTCGGTGGGTTAGTAGGTACTGTAGTGAGCGGGGGGGCTTA